AATATTTAGCTGAGTGTAAAGATTTATTACTTAGTTATATAATGTAAAAATTATACAAGGTAAATCTAAACGTAGTACTTCTATAGGTGAACGTGATCACCAAGAATTTGAAAAGCATGCCAAGATGCTGTAGATTTTCATTTACCATTAACTGATCTTGGGTTAAAGGCCTTCGTATTAATGATGACATTTATAATGATACTCCTACCCATTTAATTCATATGTCCCCTAATGAGGCAGTTAAGAAAGCATTGAAAGGTGAAAAAATATTTGCAGACGCTGCTGTTAAACATCGTAGACCTATTGGTTTTAATGAATCTCGATTAACTTATAAAGATGCCGTTTTATATTTACTTGAATCTGGTGAGTTAGAATTTGGTAGAACAAAAAAATCAACCAGTATTATATTGGCTTATGGATAATAATGGTGATGGTCCTGAAAGATTATTTGTAAGAGAACAACTAATGAAAATCAACAAAATTGAGTATCCTCCAAAATGGGTTTTACGAGATCAGTATTAATTTATGGAAAACAATTATTGCCTAGCAATGACTCTCTGAGCCTACAAATTAATTATTCATCTTTTAATATATCTTCAGTTGCTTCATCAATTTCTGCCTCTGTCATAGATCGCTCTCTTTTGGATAACTCATAATAAAGATTATATAGATTTTCTATGGTTAATAGAAGTTCTTTTTTATCATGAAACCAATTTTTGTATCTTGACATTCTTTTATTAAATGCCTCTTCATTTGGAAAAAGTGTTATTGCAGTATATTTTATATACTCATCTTTATTTTCAGAATTACGCAAATTTTTCACATAGGTAGCATATTCACTAATACAGTAAGCTTACTATCTTTTCTATATCGAAGATGAAAGGTCTTTTATTATTTTAATTTGTGCTGATTCAATCATTTTCCATGTAATAGCTTCCTGCATCGTTAACTCTGAGCCCTGCTTATTTATTAAACTTGAACTATTGTCTGTCATACTTGGTTTATACTTACCTACTTTGTATTTTGTTTTATATAAGTTTTATTTAATACGAGTTTTATTATCCCACCTTCTCATAATTTCATTACTCGAAGCTAGATTATTACAATTATCAATATATTATTTTCGACTGGATAACTATATATATCTTTTTTCGAACATAAGAGAAAAAAGGCAAATATCTCCTAAATGAGTTTTATAACTTACTCATCTATATGTTGCTCTTTTTTTAGATAATTTATATTTATTAATATCAATTTTCGGGTATTTGCTCGCTAATTGGTTTATTATTATTTTATCCGCAATTTTGTATTTTTATAGTTTTTATACTTGTAAATTTTTCTGGTATACTTAAGACAGTTTTTGGTGCTATTCGAAGATAAATATATGCTTTTTGATTCTTGCATGTATCCAATGTCATCTTTAGTGAACTATTGTTAAGAAATCCCCAACCACAATCCTTAAATGATATAGTTATTATATCTTGACATATACTTACAATGTCTCCTAATAGAAATTCATTCATATTAAAATAATTATCTATCCTTTCGAATTCTATCTGTTTTATATATTTTATCACATTCGATAATGGTTTCTTTTTAATTAATTCAACTATCATTTTGTATTCGTAAATATTGAAATATTTCTATTATAATTTCATTTGGAAGATTTATATCGGACCTTGTTGGTGGTTTCCTTTTTACTGATAACTTTGTATTTTGCTCTTTATCTTGTTGTATTTTCTCAAAATCTGGTAAACTATTTGTCATCAAATTTTGAATTTCTGGATATACAATTTTTTACTACAAAAACTCCCTCTTTTCTCAAATTTTAGCCCACCCATTTCTATTCCCGCTTTAATTTCTACTTTTCCAGCTACAATAAAGCCATCTGTATGTATACGTTTTACTTGATCCCCTTAGTGGCTTCACAATTTCTGATATTCTTTTCGTGCTGATGCTAATAAGAATGGTTTTATTCGTGGATGTGTACCATAATTTTGTCCATTTCTTTGCTCACATAAAGTACCCTATAATGAAACTAATAATGCTTTGCTTACTTTTCCAGCTAATCCACTTCTTTTTTAATATTATATAGCATAGCACCAAATTTACCAAGCATATCTTTTCCATTAATACGTGTATTTTTCATATATAATTGCATTTGGTGATTCCTCTATTAATTTTACTTTCAAACCATTTTCTATAGCACATTCTATCTTGTACATTGTAAATTTTTCTTTGAAGGAGCCCCCTCTATTGTAGCTCAATAAATTCCATAATAATGTTTTTTCCATTTTTCTGCCAAAAGTTGGATTTATAGTATAAAATTTACCTGGCCATGATGCCTCTTTAACATTTCATATACATACATTGAGTTTACATCATATCGAATAGCTTCTCCTTCATATCTTTCAGCGAATACTAGAGCACCAGTTGTTGCTAAATTTAACCAAGCATTTTCTATTTTTTCGCTTCTTTTTGATGCTAAAGTTAGTTTCTCTAAAAAGTTTTAAACTCGTTAAAGTATAATTTCCCGATTTACGCATATCAACTTGTCCATTTGTTTTTTCTGCTATAGCCTCCGATTCTTTATTAATTCTTTTATATGCTTCTATTGTTGTTTCTTCATTATTTGCTTTAATAAAATAATATTTGCTAGATAAATTTCGAAACTCATCTTTATCTCTATACCATTTTCTTTTACCATCATGAAACTCAAGTCCATTTGGTATATTTTTATAAATCAAGATAGTTTTGTTTCGTTCTATACTGGGTCCTATCTCCGGGTCGACTGCCGGCACATTTACTTCTCTCGGCTGATATGTCGGTGGATTTTTATCAAATGAAATGAGATCACCTTCTATAGCTGGTGCATTTTGTGCCGGTGTAGTGTTTCCTATTTGAGGTGTATTTTGCGCTCGTGTTAGTCGTAAGAGAGCCTGACATGGTCTGGATCGTGTTAAATCCATACATATGCTTATCCAAATCGCGAGTTTTACCCGGTGTGAATCCACAACCTGGACATTTACCTACCATTTTGATATATAATTGTATTCTGTGTTTTTTATTAATATAACCAGATCTTTTGTTTAAATAAAAAATATATGAAATGCGGGGTGAATATACATGCGAATATATACATAACTCTGGAGAAGTCTGCGGACGTGGGTGTCGACGTCCTGAAGGGTGTTGGTAAGCCAACTTTTTCTGCACCTGGTACTTGTAAAAAACATGCTAAAGGCTATTATGTTATGTTATGCAGTTTTATGCTCGAAAACTAAACCCGCCTTCTCATGATTTGTATCATTCGAAACCAGATAATTACAGTTAACTATATATTAGGATTGCCTTCAAATTGCTTAAAACTCTCGTATTCTAAAAATACACTACTCGTGTACCTAAAAAAAATCTATTTTTTGCTAAACAGATAACTATGTTTCGCATTAAATGGAAAAAAATACACCCGTCGTGTACTATAAAGCCATTGTTTTGCAATAACTATCTTTTTTTACAAATAGAAAGCTAATTGTTAACTAATAGATAACTATGCTCCGCACCTGTTTCGCATTCACCTAAAGGTTCATTCATGCTCACAGTGACAAAATACTAATTAGTAATCAAATAAGATAACTATGCTCCGCAACTATGTCACGCACCTATGTAGGTGCGCTCCACAGCGATAGAAAGCTAATTAGTAGTCAAAATAGATAACAAAAAAAACACCAAACTGGTTATATATAGTTAAAAAAAACACCGCTTATATGATTTATATTAGGTTACTAGAAATGTCATAAAACCCTAAAATCTATAGAAAATGACTAGAGTTAACTAAAAAAAAAACACGATTTTTGTCCTAAAAAGCCCTTTAGGAAACCAGATATCGAAAAATGTTCTGTTGTCTGGCAAAAGTAAATCTACTTATAATATATTAAATTAAAGCTTTTTTTAACTAATAATTCTTTTAATAATGTTGTTGTCATCGTTGTCGTTGTCATCATTGTGGTGGTGTAAATTGTGGTCATATCAATATCACGAGCATCTCGAGCCGCCCGAAATCTGTTTTAATATTTCATTGATTCCTCGGTGCTGTTTTAGAAAAATTATTAGAGAAAGAAGCATTGCATTGCGTACCCGATCATTATATTTGGGTATTGTTTATCTATTATTCCTATGAAAAGTACTTTGTGTGTTCTAACAAAAAATGTTCCCTGCGGAATTTTACTCTATATTTGATATAACTTCGACTCTGACTTTAACGTTATTTCTAACCAGACTATTCACAACGCGACTTTAGTGGCACTCCCGTACAGGCGGGGATCCAAAGGAACCTGATAATCCAGCTCGTGTTTTTCAAGCAAAGATAGTCTCGAAATTATTTCTTGCTTTTCTTCCTCCCCTACTTGTTTAAGCTCATCATTAAGTTGTGCTTTCTAGTTGATTAAATCTTTAATGTAAACGGAATATTCTGTTTCTTCTTCGAAAATCCGCTTTCAAGCAAACATCTAATTCACTTTAAATATACCTATATTGAGAGAATGAAGGATGAATTTTGTAATATCGTTAAAGTTTTGGCCTTCTTTTGCAATTCTATTTGTTTTTCAGGGTTGCATGCGGCAGCATCGAATTGCGAGGCACCTACAGCGAGAAGAGTGTAAATTCAAATCGAAAAATCCCCTTTCAAAGCAAACCAGTATTCTCTGAAACAAATACAAAGTTCAAGCATTAAAACTTAAATAATTTGAAGTTTCCTTATCGCTCATTTTTATTGAATGTAGGAGAGTTTATATTCAATCACGAGTGACGTGATAACTATTTATCATTATTATAAAATGCCAAACCAGAAAGGTTAATTGGGAATCACGTGATAAACGCGACTTACCCAAATAATATTCAAAAATGGTTAATTATAATCCAAATTTAGTTAATATGATACATTCTATTTATATCTCAGCTATAATCTTCTTCATTACTTGATTAGTCATAATGCTTTATGTAGAATAGTATAAAGTAACTTAATTAGTTAAATTTTATTCCTTCTGTATCTCTTTAGCCGCCATATTAATTAATGCTCTTTTCTCAGTAATAGAGCCATATTTATCGTGATACAATAGTAATGAGTGTAAACTCAAATCGGTTTCTTTCTCGAAAAATTTCTCTTAAACAAACCAGTATTCTCTGAAGTTTAAGGATTAAACTTTAAATAAATTTTAAATTAATTTGAATAGTTTCATATTTGAGGAAAAACTTTTTACGCATTTAATCTTACGAGCAATTTTTGTAAAATTCCAGGCATCATCATTAGGTTATAAAGTCTTTTAGATTATAAAGTCCTATTTATATTATTATCGATGTCAAACTTTGCATTTTATTTTTATTCTTACTACTTAGTTCCATTTATTATATCTAAGCTTCAAATAAAATGAACTCTCGCTATATGATAATTATAATCTTCTTGATAGTTAAGACTTGCTATCCGATTGAATATTGACTTCATCAATGGGCTCTTGATTAATCATAATATAGTATAAGACTTTTAATTAGTATTATAAATTTTAAATGATAGTTTAAAAATTATTAAAATTAAAATTGCATACACTCCTCAAGTAAATTTAGAACCTTAATTATTTTGCTGATGATTGATCACATGCTCCCTTTATGAAATCCAAAACAATAAATCAAGTCTTGGCTTCACATTAAGAATGAAAATAGCATCGGTCGGATAGTCAACTACAATTATCATTATTCCAGTAGCTTTGATGACTTACAATCCAGAAGACATGTTGATTTTTATTAATGGGATAATTAATTGATTGATCACAGTATTCCTTTAATTGCACACAAAACCCTAAAAAAATGGGCAAAATTAATTTAATACAGCATCGATAGATTATTATTGTAAAGAGTTGCCACTTTTGACAGTTACTTTTATCTGAACTATAAATAAATCCGTAAATATGCCCAAATACGTACATTCTTGTTTAATTGATTTCCGATAAATTTACTTCAAAATATTGCCTATTTCAAGAATTCCAGTAGAATTTGTTAGGCAAAATTCAAATGTAATGCAACGGCTTACATAGATTTAAAAAACTCGTTACTAAATGCTTTTATTGTTGAGTTTGAATAATGGATCTTCCATAGTTGTCTAATATGTTTGGAGAAACTGATGAATCCAATGTTCTTTTAAATTGCATTATAGAGAAACTTAATATATATTTTTTCGTCCAATGCATTCACAGTTATTATAATGTTAATTATTTATGCAAAAAAAATCTTTACTAAAAAAAAATCGGAATTCAAGTGCAAATATTACGAGTTTGAGATATAACAATTATTAATTTTCAAGATCAAAGAATTGCTAAAAATAAAAATAGTGATTAATAAGAATCTTCAATACTAAATCGAGTTTTTTGTATACAATGAGTTCATCATATGCACACAATAATTAATTAGTTTTATACATAATTTTTTATACATTGTAGATCGATTCAATCCACCGATGACAATAATTTTCTTTTATATGGTACAAAAATTTGAGATCAGTATAAAGATCTCTTTACATAGCAATTTACCATGTTAATTCCGATCTACTGTTTAAGACGAATCAATCATAGTTAATCGATAACCGTAAACGGTGGCTCTCACAAACTCACTCCCTGGATCATTCTCAAACATCGGCACCATTCTACGCTCCAAAATCTTCTCTGCTAAAAGATTAAACGGTTGTTTAATAGCCAATTCAAAAAAATTCAAATCACGATCTATAAGATTCGGTCGATGATGTGTAAAGAAGACGAGAATTTGTCCGTCTATTGGATCAATGCATTCTTTACATGCGCGTAAAAGTGAATGGTGCTGAGAATGATTAAATATCAAGTCTGATAGAATTATTGTGTTGAATTTTGTCCTGCCTGTTGGATCCAGCGAGTTAAGAAGAGGGGTCGTGTCTTTTCCCCATATGTATCCCTGTTTATCATTCAACAAGCTATTAAACTTAAATAAATTGTGATGGAAATATAAAAATTATTATTTTACCATTATTATAATTCTCTCACGATCTTTTATATTTGAAAATATATTCGCGACATTATATTTGATATTGTCTAATAATTGTTCATCAGGATAATCTGTGATAACAACCTGTATGAAATCTAATTCATTATTTCATAAATCTTTTAGTAAAAATAAAAGACATTTGAAATATTTTTATTACCTTTGCAGCACCATTAATATTCGCAATCAATGAAGGTAACCCAGCACCAGCACCGAATTCCAATACATTTTTTCCACGCGCCAATTCTTTATTTTCGTCTAAATAATTAGCCAAACATTTTGCCGCGTTCCATAAATAATGGCCCCAGAGTGGATGTGATCCCACAAGACGTACAGTTATATCTCTAAATTTTGCGCTGTTGCTTTCTTAAACAAATGATATATTATGTGTTTTTTGTAAACATATCTTAAAGTCATCAAGTAGATCTCGATTACCTCCTCCTTCTTGTTCTATTATGTATTTAATATCTCGAGTAAATGTTGTAAATGACGGTGGAGGTGTTGATGATCTAAAATCTGGTGGTTCCTTTTTTATAATTCAGACTGGATTACTCAATTAAAGATCAAATCAATAACCACAATCTCTTATAACTAAATACTGACTTCGAACAACAATAAATCTCGATCATCAAATAGTACTTGGTCGTCATCTGTCTGTGTGCCCTATAAAGGATTACCGATATTCTTTAAATAGAACAAATACATTTTTTACTTACCTCTGTAAGATCCATGATGCTTTAGAATAGAAAAGTTTTATGCACAAAACACAAGTTAAATGACCATTAATTTAATTATTTATTGAATAAATTAAATATAATAGGACAAGTGCACATATAATATCAAACTTTTCTAGTCTACCTTTATAGTCGAAAATTTAACGATTGGCTGATATAATGATCCTAAATCAGCCAGTTATGGAAATTGCGAGCCATTTTTATGCAATTAATTTGAAAAGCAATTTTGATTCCAAGTTAGCAGTTATGTGACACTGTGACATCGTTTGATCGACACAATAGAATTTGAATTAATCAACAAATAACACATCAACCTGAATGAGGCACGGTTATTGTTCAAAAATATACAAATATACATTCTATATAGCGTAATGTATATATAGCATAAGCGCAAATTTACAGCCACCTGTGCACAATGAATTTATTGCATGATTTGATTGAATTAAAATTATCCAAAAATTTTTCCAAACTTCGGGGATAGGATATTGAACACATTCCAAAGCGAATTTTCTAATTTAAACCCAAACTCCGGTCTGGGTGTGTTCTCAAAGATGCATTATGCAGGCGATACATTATCACTCTCATTTATCCTTATTAAAAAGTATTTTTTCATAGTAACGTTTGTTCTTTGCAATAAAAAATTTATGCACTCTATATTACTATATTACAACTATATTACACGTCTTTGTATTACGCATGAATTCAGAAATACATAAATACATAAATACATAAGCCAAATTTTTTTATTCTCTATCTTCATCGATTATATATTATATATACATATAATATATATATATATATAAATAACTGTTAATATACTTTTTATGTTCAATTTTTATAATTTTTATCATAACTATTAGTATAATAAAAAAATGACCGAAAAGATAGAAAGGACGGAATCCTCCGTAACTATGTCTATGCCAGAAGCATATTATGGGGATTCAGAGAATAAAATTGTTGGCAGCGATGGAGGGGCTGGCGACCCTCCGTATGACGAAAATCATGATTCTGATCAAAAACCACGTAAAAAAAGCCTGAAAACCAGCGAAATAATTCAATCCAATCCAAAAGTATGGTATAAACACACAAAATCTTTGTTGAGTAGCATCAAATCAAATTGGCTTTTAGTTTTCTTCATTCCAGCGGTGGTGCTGACCAAATACCAAGGACATATTAGTGCCATTGTGACTTTTATCTTTGATATGTTGGCTATTATTCCGTTGGCGAAAATCTTAACCGTCTCCATTGATGACATGACTGCTAGATTGGGACCGGTATAAAGAAACTATTTATTACTTAGTTAATTAATGTCGATGAAATTATTTATCCTAATATCTTATAATCTAAATCTAAAGGCTTATAGTGCCGTCCTCCACGCTTTTTCGGGAAATTGTGTGGAACTTATTATTCTTGGATTCGCCTTAAAAGATAGAGAATATGCCATTGTTCGTTCTTCTGTACTCGGTGCCATCTTATCTAATATTTTATTGGTAAGTTTATTTGAGCTAGCTAAAATTAATCGTAGTGTATATAAACTTTTGATTTAATTTTTTTTATATAAAATAAATGCTCAGATCTTAGGCGCAGTATTTTTGATAGCTTCATTTCCAAGAAAAGGACAAACCAATCTCCAAACTGATATCGATGCTTCATTTTTTGTGAACACAAGTGCATCAGTTCTTGCCCTTGCCGTGCTTGCTTTAGTCACCCCAGCTACATTTAAGATTGCAGCACCCCCGGAAACTGGCATTGATTGTGATATGCAAAATATCAGTCGAGCAACAGCCATCATTCTTTTAATGCTGTATGCCGGATTATTAATCTTCCAATTGAAAACTCACGCTAAAGAAGTAAATATATTTTTATTTATATTTGTTTTCAAATTTATTTAGACAATATATGTTAATTTGAACATTTATTTAGCTGGTAGATATGTCTGAAGTAGAACAACATGAAGCAAGATATTTTTTAGTGTTTGACCTACTCTTGTAAGCTATTCTCATTAATCTATTAATTTATTTTAGATGACTACATTATTTTGTATTAAAATTTTTTTGTTAATTATATAGGGCTGCTCTCTCAATTGCTGGTATTACCTATTGTTCAAGATATCTTGTGACAAGTATTGAACATCTAGCTGAGCAATATCAACTTGGACACTCGTTTGTCGGAATGGTCTTGTTACCCACTTGTGGTAAGAACAACTAGCTATTTATAGCATAGAAAATAGCTGATAGGTGAATTACAATTTAATTGTATTCCTTTTTCTATCTAGTCATGTCCAATGCACTTGAACATTGGCACGCCATTAAAGATGCACATAAGAATAAGATCGACACAGCTATCAGCTTGGTTCTCAATACATCTGTGGTAGGTTAACTGAACAATCAATATTATGTATTTATGTATCATTATATCAAATA